TTATATGGGACCACGGTGCCCAGGCTCCAGCAATATTTACGGCCCGGGGGCCTGGGGGCCTGGCTCCGCCTGCTGCCCCCGTGCACCTCCCCCAAGTATCCCCCGGTCCCCACTTGCTGCCCCCGTGCACCTCCCCCGGGCCCAGAACGTCCCTGCCTCAAGTCGATACGTCCACTCTGCTGTCTCCCGGCATCAACTGCTGCCACAGGGTCCTAGCGCCCCCCAACTTCTAGTGCCAGGGCAGGCTGACCCTGCCCCTGCCCTTCCGCCTCGGACCCTTCCCTTTTCCTGCGGGACCCTCCACCAGCACAGGGGACTCTCCCCCCCCCCGTCCGCAGTCACCGGTCCTACCCCACACTGGGCAAGGGGCAGTCCCATCCCCCACCCCCAGGGAGGCTACAGTGAGGGGCAGCAGCAGGGGAGGAGGAGCACATGTGATGGCAGCCCCCCCCCGGCACCCACCACAGGGGAGGCGAGGGGGCTTCCTGGACCTGAGAGGGGCCCTAGGAGCACATGCAGTGACAGTGGTGCGAGGCAAGTGTGCTGCGGGGGGGGGGGGCACAGCTCGTGGCTACTGGCGGGGAGAGGGCTGGGGGGAGTCCTTCTTTCTGGCCCCAGTCCCGGGGCAACCCACCTACACCCCAAACTCCTCAGCCCCAGCCCCACCCCACCCCAGAACCCGCACCCCCAGCCAGAGCCCTCACCTCCCCACACCCCAACCTTCTGCCCTAGCCCTGAGCCCTTCCCACACCCCAAGCCCCTCATCTCCAGCCCCAGCCAGAGCCCTCATCCCCCCATACCCTAACCCTCTGCCCTAGCCCTGAGCCCCCTCCTGCATCGTGAAGCCCTCATCCCCAGCCCCACCCCACAGCCCTCAACCCTGCACCCAAACCCTCTGCCTGAGCCGCTCCCACACCCCAAACTCCTCATCACCAGACCCACCCCAGAGCCCTCACATTTTTACATTATTTTAAAAAATATATATCATCTTACAAGGCAGGGGGGGAGAGGGGCGGGACTTGGACCTGTTCTGGGCACCACCAAAAATTATACAAACCTGCCGCCCCTGCCCAGAACTGATCTGTGCAGATACAGGGCAATATCGAGTGCAAGTAGAGAGGGATTTTGCCTCTAAACACAGCACAGGTGATACCACTAATAGAAGCCTGTGTCCAGTTCTGGGCACCCACTTTTAAAAGGGCTTTGCAAAACTGGAAAGGATTCAGAAAAAAACTATGAGGCTAATGAAAGCTATGAAACCTGCTTTCTAGTAAGAACAAAAAAGATCTATTTATCTTATAAAGAGAAGGGTAAGAGGCAACTTGATTAATAGATGTTAAGGCCAGAAGTGACCATTATGACAATATAGTCTGACCTCCTGTATAGCACTCCAAGGGATGGAGAATCCCCCACACCCCTTGGTAAGTTGTTCCAATGTTAATTATTCTCACGGGCAATTCCAGTCTGAATTTATCTGGCTTCAGCTTCCAGCCCTTGGATCATGTTATACCTTCATCTGCCCAGCAGAGGAGCTGGCTCTGCCATAGGCAGCTGCTGGTAGAGGCTGGAGCTGCCCTGGGGCAGGAGGCTAGCCTGGAGTCCTACCCTCTCTAGCCACATGAACTAGCTGTGATTTTGCACCCCCAGCCCTGGGAATCCCTGGTGATCTTTAGCGATAAGCATCCCGCCCTAGCCTCAGAGTTGCCTTGGTTACATTTCCAAGGGTGTCTGCACAAGGAGCAGGGCTAGAAACTCAGTGTTTTTCAAGAGAGAAGCGGAGATTCTCCTTTCCATTTCCCCTAGGGTCAGCTGTCATTAATGTCTAGTGAGGCTGCAGCTGGGGAGCGTCATGTCATGGGGCTGAGACCATCTCTCTAGCTCCCTGCAGGCACCAGGCAGACAGGAGACACCCAGCCTGCACCAGCATTACATGAATGCCCTTTCCATGGTTCTCTGAGTGCACAAGGGGACTCAATCCCCTGCCCCTGACTATGCCGCAGAAGCACAGACCTCCCTTTCCATGCAATTAGCATCCATGCACCCCAGGACCAGGGATCCACTTCCCAGCTGGGAAGGCAAAGAAGAGCATAGAGATCTGGGCAACAAGTCGAGAAAGAAATTGTGAAAGCAGCTAGTTACCAAAGCAGCATTTCTTGCAAGGCCTGTGTCATGCTGCTCCCTGGAGATGGGGGGCAGTGAGACAGGGGGCTCCCAAGAGAAGACAGCCCTCAGCCCTAGTAGCAGCAACAGAAGGATTCACTTCCCAACTCCCCCCTTGCTCAGCATCCCAGTCTCTGGAGAGTGCAAACGGCCCAGAGAGAGGGCTCATGTAGAGAAGCAGGAGGGCTCTAAAGAGGGAAATGGGGTGAAAACAAGTAGAAGAAAAGGCAGAGAGGGTGGGGATAGGGTCCAGAGTGACCTAGACAAATTGGAGAATTGGGCCAAAAGAAATCTGATGAGGTTCAACAAAGACAAGTGCAGAGTCCTCCACTTAGGATGGAAGAATCCCATGCACCGCTACAGGCTGGGGACCGACTGGCTAAGCAGTAGTTCTGCAGAAAAGGACCTGGGGATTACAGTGGATGAGAAGCTGGATATGAGTCAGAAGTGTGCCCTCGTTGCCAAGAAGGCTAAGGGCATATTGGGCTGCATTAGTAGGAGCATTGCCAGCAGATCGAGGAAAGTGATTATTCCCTTCTATTCGGTACTGGTGAGGCCACATCTGGAGTACTGTGTACAGTTTTGGGCCCCCCACTACAGAAAGGATGTGGACAAATTGGAGAGAGTCCAGCGGACAGCAACAAAAATGATCAGGGGGCTGGGGCACATGACTTACGAGGAGAGGCTGAGAGAACTGGGCTTGTTTAGTCTGCAGAAGAGAAGAATGAGGGGGGATTTGATAGCAGCCTTCAACTACCTGAACGGGGGTTCCAAAGAGGATGAAGCTCGGTTGTTCTCAATGGTGACAGATGACAGAACAAGGAGCAATGGTTTCAAGTTGCAGTGAGGGAGGTCTAGGTTGGATATTAGGAAACACTATTTCACTAGGAGGGTGGTGAAGACCTGCAATGGGTTACCTAGGGAGGTGGTGGAATTTCCATCCTTAGAGGTTTTTAAGCCCTTGACAAAGCCCTGGCTGGGATGATTTAGTTGGTATTGGTCCTGCTTTGAGAAGTGGAGATTCTCCTTTCCATTTCCCCTAGGGCCAGCTGTCTTTAATGTCCAGTGAGGCTGCAGCTGGGGAATGTCATGTCATGGGGCTGTGACCATCTCTTTAGGTCCCTGCAGGTCCTGCTTTGAGCAGGGGGTTGGACTAGATGACCTCCTGAGGTCTCTTCCAACCCTAATCTTCTATGATTCTTCTATGATTCTATGATCACAAACACCACTGCAACTGTGGGTCTGCTCTGGTGAAGAGTATGGGTCAATGGCCCTGCCTGGGCTGGGCTGCACACAGCTTGTGCAGTGCGAGAGCTGTTTAATTACCCTGTAACATTACAGAAATAGCCCAATTTCTCTAAGCATCTCTGTGCCGATGTCACTGCAGCCTCGCCAGGGTTAGCTACATTGATTTCTAAACAGATCTAGTTAATGTGGTACAAAAGCTGTGTGTAGACAAACCCCTACTGAGTTGGTCTGCTCCCCATGCATCTGTCTTTAGTGACTCAAAGAAATGTTACCACTTCTTACATTTACTAGGCTGGAGCAAGAAGCGGGAGTAAGGAGTGACCAGCAGCTCCATTGCTTCTTGTGCATCATCAATGGAACCGTGTCCTAACCTCCCATCAGTGTCACCTGTGCAGACTTGTGCACAGCAGCTGGGTTGGCGAGATGTCACTGAACGGGCCTTGTGTCATGCGGAGAGTCTGTGTTACCTGATACGATGTGCAGAAAGAAAATAACTCAGCTTGACTCAGCGGTCCCAGGCCAGGTTTGCAAGGCTGGTGCAATGAAGTTTCCCTTTCAGACCACCATACAACAGTCTGAGAACCTGCTGGAGTTTGTGAGCAGCAAGAGCAGACAACTGGAGCTCTGCTAATAATGGAGCATTAGCCTCAGACCTGTGTGTGTACCCAGATTGACATTCACAAGGTGCTGCAGCTGACACATAGGAGAAAACATCTTTTTACTTGTAACTTGAGCACATTTCACAGGGAATCAGTGACACAAGAAACACAGGACTCTGGGATGCCCTGCCTCCAGAATCACCGTGCAATGCAGGCCTGAGCATGGATGGCAAGATGTCCCGGGCAGTGCAGAATCCTCCAAAGAAAATGGTGGCACAGATCCTAGGATGATAACTGATGAGGCAACATCCTGCAATGCCTCCAGCCAGGGGATGAGTACAGTGGGCTGGTCTCTCCCCGTCTCTAAGCCCAGTGACTTCATGCATGTTGAGTATCCCTAACATGGTATAATGCCACAAAGAGTGAATTTCTCCTCCACATCACTCGAGTATGAGATCCCCCTCCAATGGCCAGTCCATGCACCCTGCCCTACAATATCTGTATGGGACTCTTTGGACACACTGCTGAAGTTTGACAGGTGTGACAGGGGACAACCCTCGTCCAGCCTGCAAACTCGGGTGGTCCCTGTGATTGTTGTGGAGCTTCCCAAGCTGAATACATCAAACCAGTTATAATTAAGCTGGAGCTCGACTACATTTTACAGTTAAAAATAAACCGCTATGGGAGGATGGGGAAACCAGCCAGAGATGATACTTGTACATGTAGAGCTGGTAAAGCGCAGATAACACGGAGATGAGTGTGGTATAAACCCCAGAAAGATAGAAAGATTAGTGAGGGCTCCAGGCCAACTACCAGCTGAAGACACAACATGAGAAGCCAAAGGTATTAAATGCTAAGGCTGGGGCTGTTCAAAGGGGTGAGGTGCCCAACTTCCAATCAGCATCAGTGGATCTGGGTTTCTCCCTACATAGGCTCTGAGAATTCCACTGTAAAATCAGTGGGGAGGAGGCAGGAATAGCTCCTGGCACCCACCTGCACACTCTGGAGCCGCTGCTGTCCAGTTCCCCGACGCCAAGCACTGCAACGTGTCCAGCCCTTGCAGTTCAAACCCCTCCTGGCACTGGAACTTGCATGTGGAGTTGTAGCTAAATTCCCCCAGGGGATGACTGCAGTCAGGCCTGGGGTCAAGGTTTTTGCACCTCACAACTAAAAAGACATACACAGCATGAGCAGCTGGGAGGCAGGGGGAGGGGTTTCAAGCACACATGCCTGTTGCTCCCTCAAGTTGCCAGGTCTCAGGTTCTCTGGAGCACAGCCTACCCCAGCCCCTCGGCTTGAGCTTCAGCAGGAGCTGCAACATCCATACTGCTATTTGTAAAGCTCGGGCTTGAGCCCCCTAGCCCAAGTCTGGCTAGCTGGGCTTGCACCCAGCTGCAGTGGAGACATGCCGTGACAGCCCTGCTGGGGCTGAGCTCTGCAAGGCAAGAAGAAGGGCACATGCTTTCTCTGGGTAACAGAGTGAGCTGAGTAGCCTGTCTGAGAAGTTGTGTTTGGCAGTCGGGCACAAGCGAGAGACTTTCCGGGCCTGGAAGCTGCTGCAGACTCAGCCCAGCAGGAGGCTCCACCCCCAGTTGAGGCCTGGGCACCCTGCTCAGCCCTAAGGGAGACAGCAACTGTTTTGCTGCTTGGGCAGCTCCAGGCTGACAGCAGGATAGGGGTGTAGCCTTACCCCTAAGGGAGGCAAATTGCCTGGGCTGGCCTGGGGCGGGCATGCTATAGCAGCAGTGCGGTCAGGCACTTGGGAGGCTACAACCCCACCCCACTCTGCCTCCTTGGCCAGGGAGCAATAGCAAAGGCCATTCCTCCGGCTGTGCTAGCGCCCCTCTTTGGCGAATCTCGGAGCAGCACTGATGGGTGCCCAGGCCATCATCCCAGAGGATGTCTCTGGGGAGACCCTCCAGAAAGTAAATGCAGTGACTGTAACAGGCCCTGCGGCAGGGCCCCCTCCCCTAATGTTCCTGTTCGACTGCCCTCACCGTGTTCACACTCAGGCCCGTAGAAACCAGGGTAGCAATCACAGCTGTAGTTCCCGATGGTCTCCACACACTCACCGCGCTGGCTGCAGGAGGAACGCTGGCAAGACGCTGCAGAGATACAGCTGGGTTAGGATCCACCCTAACAGTTCCTTAGAGACAAATCATAACCCACCCCACTGCCTGGATCCTGCACTCCATCCCTGCTGCTTTTCTTCATTGCGGGATTCTTTCAGAGCCTGTTAAAACCATGGGAAAAAAACCCTGCCTTCAAAGGCCTTGGCTCAGGCCCTGCAAGGGCACCCAGGGCACCCAAGCTTTGCCCAGCCAGGTGGTATTGGCACCTTGCCAGAAGTTTGGAGGCAATGGCTGCTTTGCACAGATTGTCACTCTGCTCTTGGACCCAGAGGCGCTGCCTGTGGACAGCGCTGACCTGGATGGGTAGGCTGCCCTCTGGATTGAGATGGAGGGTTGCATGCTAGGCCTGCAGGGGACACACACATGCATTGATCAGAGGCCAGCATGTGCCACGTTTGGTTATCAGGCTGTGCTTTGACCTCCCTGCCCCTCCTCCCCCACCCCCCCGCACTGATTGCACTCCAAAGAGGGTAGTAACTCTTTGTCAGGGAGACTCCACTGCATCTCCCAAGGGCTCAGAACAGGTGCTCCTGGGGCCAAGCGCCTGGCATGTCAATTTACAACGGGACTTTGTGATGAGAAGAATGTAGGGATCAAAGCAAGACTCATTCAGAGCACAGGTTCAGCTCCCGTCTGTGTGGCCCATTTGTGAGGGAGAACTTGGAAGGCAGGACTTTAACTCCCCAACCAAAGGAACCAGCGAGACACAGAGAACACCACAGCAGTGATAGCTGGTGTGTGCAACACCTGTGCCTGGGAGCAAACATGCAAAGCGGGTGCAGGCCTGTGCTGCCGGCCACGGGACAATATCACTAATGCCTAACACCAGCTAGCACTAATCAGGCCCTTGGTGGCTGTCTCCACAGAAGTCAAGACTCAGTGGGCCATGGAGACCGACTGACCCCGCAGATCAGGGTTGAGGCACTCTAGCTGGGTGGGTGGGTTAAGTTCCTCTGCCCAGACCATACCTCTTCGTAACAGTGTGTCTGGCCCTTTAAGGGCTAGAGGCCTGTGGCCAGCCAACCCTAGTTACTAGGAAGGCACAGCTGAGCAGGAGTCAGCTGATGTCCCTGGACAAGTGGCAGGAAGTTTCAGAGAAGGGGGATGCTCAGGGAGAGACAAGCCAGGAGGCTTCTGCAGGAAACCCTTCACCAGCCGGCAGGATTTGTGCCTGGAAGGAAGCCCGAGCCAGAGGGCTGAAGAAGGCTGAGAGCCAGGGAGAACAGACTCCAGGAAGTAAGGAAAGACTCCAGTCAGGCAAGGCGAGAGTGGCTTGCGGAGCAACCTCAGACCATGACGGGGCATGGGAGGCAGCCAGCCCATTGACACTCTTCTATGGACAATTAGGGACTTAATTCTCCAGAACTCTCAATCCAGCAACTCTCCCCAGCCCTACATATGTTAGACAGACACACACATACATGGAGAATGACCGTGGTGGGGTGGTTACCTTGGTAACACAGCGCCCTCTTTTTCTTTTGGCAGTTCTCATCGTTCCATCTTCCAGCATCATGATCCCTCTTTATGTAAATCTCCACACAGTCTTGGTTCTTCCCTTTATTGTTGGGTTCCCTGTTAGCCCAGTTCTCAGCCTCCTTCGTCAGGGCCTTGTTGGTACCAACCCAGGTCCAGACATTGTTTATCTTTCGTATCCCAATCCAGTAGTATGTTCTATGGCGGGGTAAGACATTGTTGAGATAAACAATTTCCCCCTGGTTCTGGATTGCTACGAGGTCAGTGTAGAATAACCTGCAAAAGTTTCTGGCCAGCTCCCATGAGTAATCAGATTTGTTACCATAATGGTAGGTCCAGGCTCCCACTTCCATCTGAGTCCCGAGCACTGTTGGAAAGAATAAAAACAGGCAAACTTGTGTGACAGTCAGTGACAGAGCTATGGGTTGACTATCAATGGGTGACACCAGACTATATCTTATATCACACACAAAAGTACTGCATTAAAAGAACATTATTTAGGTTGCAAAGTCAAGCACTCAAACGTTAGGAAATGCCACAATTAAGGTTGCCCATGTAACTGAGTTCAGCCCCCTTGTGCGCATGCACGATGGTATAGTCTTTAGTGGCATGATAACATACTATTTTTCCATAGGTCCTCTGCCTCACTCAGTGCAGAGGATGGACGGGGCTCACTAAATGAGGAGCTATTCAATAGTTTGTTTTCTCCTCACTGGTCAATGTGTAACCGCCCCAGGCTTATTTACTGCACACTATACAAACCCTGCTCTGAAGACAGAATTATTCATTTCCCCAAAGGCTTTTCTATAGCGCTCATCATTACAGTATCTGAGTGCTTCACAAACATTAATGAGTTTATACTCACAACAGCTCTGGGAGATGAGAGGATGGTATTATCCCCATTTCAAAGATGGGAACAGAGGCATAGAGGCACTGGTTCTCAAAGGTATTTAGGCACCTAACTGCCATTGATTTTATTGCAAGTTAGGTGCCTAAATACCTTTGAGGAGCTGAACTAGAGAGATTAAGGTCGAAAATAATTTTGGGTGTCCCATTTGAGTAGAGCCCTGCGCGGATACATAATTATATCCACAGATGCGGATATCCATGGATACAAAGCAGATATCCGCAGACTTGCAGGGCTCTAGTGACAACGAGTGAGACAGGCTTACATGCTCCTGGTCAGGAGATACTGCTTGCACACACTAGTGTGACCAGAGAAAGCTGCCAGTGAGCCTAGTGCCCACCCCAGTGGGCAGGGCTGGAGGAGGTACAGCCATGCCGGAGGAGCTGCCTGGGCTGGGAGCTGGCTTCTGCGAACGGCAGCCCAACATGCTGCTTCTTTCGCCGCTGTGGTTTCTGGCCCAGTTGTTGGCCATGGCCCTGCTGATCTCACTCATTGTCACTTGAGTCCTGCAAATCTGTGGATATCCGCTTTATATCCACAGATATCCACATCCATGGATATAAATTGTATATCCACGCAGGGCTCTACATTTGAGACCCCTAGGACCTGATTTTCTGAAGTATTTAGCATTATAAAGCATTTTCTATGTTCAGAGCACTGTTCCCATTGACTTTAGTTGCAGCAGTGAGTGCTCAGCACTTCTGCAAATCAAATCATAGGGTCTCAATTTGAGCACCCAGAAAGTGAGGAACACACATTTAGTGGCCACCTGGGAAAAGTTTGGTTTAAGTGACTTGCTCTGGGGCAGAGGCAGAATCCAGTTCTCCGGGGCGGCAGTCAACATCCTTGATCCTTGAAACCATCCTTTCTCTTCTTGCAACCCTCTGCCTCATTCATCACACACACCTTCCAGCGCCTGCAACAGATGAGGTAGGGTTCCTACAGACAACAGCTTTTTTCACTGTACAACCTGGATTCATTCCCTAGCGTAGGTCCATCCTGTGCACTCAGCGAGGCAAGGGTTCTGGCATTTCCTATGGTATGAGTGCTTGACTTTGAAATGTTAAAAATGTTCTTTTAAAGTAGGTGTGTGTGTGTGTGTGTGTAATTTCCTACGTTTTTTAAAAAGCAAATTGTAAAAAATAGAAGATCCATCACGTGGCATCATAGTGACACCAATATGGATCATCAGCAGGGTTAAAATCCTGAGATCAGGTGCACAGACCTCTGCCACCTGAGCTAATGGAGGAACCAATAGCAGTAGCAGGTTGTCATAGTCCCTATGGGCCAGCACTAGAGGGATATGAAACACACATTTTGCCAGTGGATTTCACAGATACTTGCTGACAGCAGAGAACTCAGGAATTGTGGGTTCCATTCCAGGCTCTAGAGGAGAGTGTTCTCTAGTGGTCACAGACTCTTCTGCCTCTGTCTCCTAAGCATGGCCCTTCTGCCCTGGCCCCTCCAACCTGACCCTGTCCCAGGCCTGTCTTTTACCCATCCCTAGCTCCTCATCTCAGTCCCAGTCTCATTGTCTAGCAAGCCCTAGTCTCACCTCTCTGGAATCCCCGCCCTACCCCAGGCATCCCTCCACACCCAGTCCCACTCTCCGATCCTGGCCATTCTCAGTTTCCCCCCCCCCTCCAAGCTCCTTGTCCCCAGGCTCCTTGCCCAGCCAGTCCCAGTTCCCCCACTCCCCCCATCCTGGCTCTTCATCCAATCTATATCCCTATTGGCTCACAGGGCCACTCTCCCTCCCTGGGTTTGTCATCCAGTCTCAGCAGTCATCTCTGGCCTCCTTCTCCCAGTGTCCTTGCCCAGCCATTCCCCCTGAACACCAGCAACTTGGCAGAGTTGTCTCATAGAATCATAGATTCTCCCCTCCCCCTTCCCTCCTTCCTCCTACCCTACTAGTTCTCTGTCCCAGTCACCTTGCTTAAATAATCCCAAGATCCCCCAAGATCCTCATCCAACCTCACTCTCCCCCAGCCTACCTGCTCCCACTCCCCTCATTTCCCTCCCTAGATCCCAGTCCCAGGCTCCTTGCCCAGCCAGTCCCAGACTCTCCCCTCCCCAATTCCCAATCCCAGTTTTTTCTCTCCGATGCAAACCTCCAGTCCCAGTCTTCCCCCTGGACTCCTTTTCCCAATCTACACCCTCTGCCATCCCCACCCACTGCAGGTCTGGCTCTTGCCCCTCTGCCTTCAAATGAAGCAGCTTCCTGCTTCGTGCTGCCTGAGCTCAGAGGGCGGGCATTGAGAGCCCAGGAGAGACAGCCTCTCTTCTCTCAGTTCCAGTACCTGGCTCAGCCCAGAGCTGCAATTACAGGGAACATCCTGCACAGCCCCGAGCTGGAGCATGACCAATATTATAGATGGAATTTTCAGGGAATGTGGCTGCTAAAATCAAAGTCTCTACTGAGCAGTGCAAAGTGCAATTTTTCAAAGGCTTATAACTTGGCCAAATTTTGGGCAGATTTTCACAGGCATCTTCCTGATGCAAACACCTACTCCCTACCAAATTTCAAGTTCCTGCTCCAAAGTATGGGGGCACCAGAGCTTTTCAAAGAAAAGCTCACCAGATTTTTTGAACATCAACAAAACAACATATTTTTTCCGTAGCTTTATTCTTAGAAATGGCTGAACTGTTTTGATTGAAATTTTCCAAATAGTTCAGCTTGGGGCAGACAACCCATGTGGAAAAATGTCAATCCAAATGGTTAAAGCCTGGTAAAGTTATAAGCAACTGAAAACAGGATCTTATAATGGGAAGCATTGGCAACCTTAATGATAGGCAGTGCTACCAGCCTGCCTATAAGAGATCAGTCCAGTTCTAATGACCTATATGTGTTATTCTTGGATCTGACATCACAAATCTCATGCTGAGAGTCTCTACCTAACTAGCAGAGTTTAGTGAAATAAGAAATACAGGGATTGAAAACTGGTAAAAGGTGAACTGCAAAAATTAAAACAGCTTTAGGCTTTGATTTCTGGTCTGAATGTCTCCACTCAGCAGAGGCTAACAAGCTAAGAGATAGCTAACTAACCAACTCTTTTTCCCACCCCGTTCTATGAAATCCTTTGGTAGGTTGTAGTTTAATGAAAATATCCCAAAATGAGACACCACAAATATCAAATGTCTGATTGTGATCCATAAATGGATTCCATGCTGTTGTCACTGAAAGATGTATGCTGGGATACCTTCAGTGCACCAGGAAGAACCAAAAGGATTTCCCAGAGGGGGAATTGTTTTTAAGGAGGTTCATTAAAACTTATTTTTTCTTCATATAAGTGCTCGAGGCCCTCTTTTCACAGGCACAGAAATATGGGATTAACTCAATTTTAATTTTAATTTTTCCTTTGTAGTTTTACATATGAGGCCAGCAACAAAGTCTGGATCCAGAGCCAGATTTGAGCATTCTCATAAGTTGCTGGTGTTTGGCACTTCTCTGCTTTAGCAGCTAATCTAAATATCCAAGACATTTTTGGAGAGCTTTGTAAAACTGAGTTTTGTGAAGACGCTGGCCCAGCTGGTAGTGCTTACAAATCAGGAAAAGATAAAAATGAACTACAAATCAAGGCTGAAACTAGCCACAGAGCTGAACTACTGAAACACAGTGTCTATTTATATTATTTCTCACCATTGCTTGATGCGATCCAGGGTTTTTAGCTACAAAACAACCACCATATCGCAGTGTCTCTATGGTTACAGAAATCTATCTGAAAATAGCCCTGAAGTCAGATCTTCTTCCAAACAGTGCAGCCTAGGGACCTGCCCTCAGCTCACTAGTGTTCATTTCAGGGAACATATCATACACTTTATTTGCAAAGCATGGATCAAAAGTCTTGCACCATAGATTTAATACAACTTCAGGATTTGCCCCTTAGAGCTAAAGCTCAACAAAAATGTTTTTCTGCATGAAATTCCAATATTTCAACATTTGTTTTCATCCCGAAAGGTTGAAAAAATTTTTTTTTCACAAAATGAAAGAGTTCAGAAAAATGTTGATTAGGAAAAGTCAAAATGTTTCACTTCAAGTCAGGTCTACATCCCTGGCTAGTCTGTATCTCCCATGACACAACTACAGACATGTGTCCCATCAGAGGGAAGACAACAGTGGATCTTGAGAGATATAGTCTGGCCAAGGAGCCTGGCCTTTTGGATAAAATGGGGACACGAAACACCTAAACTACAACTCCCATGAGACAGCGTGTCACCAAAGATAGATGCAGGTTAATAGCAAACTGACTTGGGTTGCATTGACTTGAAACAAAAGATTTGATTTTGATTTTCCCCAATGGAAAATCAAAAAAAATCAACAACATGAGTTGAGGTCTCTCCAACCCACCAAGCTCTGCTTGTCATTCCTGTTCTGCCTGGTGAACATCACACCCATGTTATGAGGGATGCGCCTCAAATGCTTTACAGTAAAGATGAGCCCAAACAACCCCCCAAAATCCAAACTTCTCCCCTCCCTCTTCTCTATAATAGGGTGAACCAGAGCTCAAGACTCCCATTTCCATGGAGCACTGTGGCTCAGGACACCTGCCCCCCCCCCACACACATTCTGCAGCTGGTGCCCATCTCTATTTTGGACCTCACAAAGGGCTCAGATAAGCAACCAGCAATGTGACACTCTGATCCTCCTCTAAGGCCCCTTGAAATAATGCAGCGGGATTCCCCTGGGGCACAGCTTTCCCCAGCCCTGCTCACGATATGACAGCACTGGTGCTGATCTCAAGCCTGGCAGTGCAAGAATGAACAGTTATTTAAAAAGGGAACAGAACATTTTCAAATCAGCTGAATGGCTGAATGGCCTGGGGTCAGGGTCAGCTTTGTGCAGAGGTAGTTCCCCAGGCCCTATGCTCATGCTGAGGTCAGAACAGAAATCAAAGACTCTTCAGTTCGAATGATGCCAAGCCAGTAAACAGAAGAGAAAAGCGATACCTAGCACAGACAGGCCTGCGCCAAGGAACTCGCCCAAGAACAATATTCTTTTCCTTGCTCTGTTTCTTGTGGTGTAGATACCACTATGGGACAGCTCCTCGCCTGGTGTAAACCAGCACAGCTCCACTGAAATTAATGCCACTGGCCCCAGATATGTACATAGCACATCCATGTTTCAACAGCACGTGCCACGTTTCACAGCTAATTCCTCATGGGAAATGCCACTAGGAGAGCTGTGGGCTGAGGTCTAGCCTCCAATTCACAGGTGCGACTCAGTCAATGGGGATTGCGTCTGTGTATCTGAGAGCAGAGCTGAGTGTGGGAGGGCTCTCCTCTCTCTGCAACAGGTAGGAGAAGATCCACACAGGAGAGGCGAGTAGCAACCTGTTGTTGGAGGAGATGTGATAGCCGGGCTTTCCAAGCACAGGCTGGCCAGGTATGGAGCAATCATCTTGTGCACCAGGGAGCTCCTACCTGAACTGGGATCTGGGTGCCAGACGGAGATGGCATGACTGGAGGGGCTACTTGGAAGGAGACAATTGTACACAGTCACAGTGTCAAGCAGGATTTCTGAGAGGTGCTATGAGGAATGTGGGGACTTTTTGTACAATTGTTATAAACCTTGGGGTCTGTCTCCACTTTGTAGTGTTACCCACTGGGCGGAAAGGGTTTTTCTCCTTGGAACCAGAGAGCTTAGCAAGAACTGGCTGGAATTGGAGACCCTGCATTGATAAGGGAAGAACTAAATACTGGGCCATTAATGCTTAACTTCCTCCAAACCTCTTCAGGGAATCAGAGTGAAAAGGCCGTAGGTGGAGACAAAGGGATGAGGTGGCAAGTGGCTGTCTGTTAAGGTTGCTGTGATGAGCAGATGGACTCACACAGACAGGGTCAGAGAGAGTAAAGAAGAACCCCGGAGAATCAGGGCATGGCAAAACCATTGCTCCTACTGATAGGGACTCTGAAGTTTGGCTGTCTCATGCTGACTAAAGACTTACTGATGCTGGATTCCAGGTAACTAATCAAAGCTACCTAGTTTTAAAAAGGCTGCCACATAATCTGCTGGGTGCATTGCTCCCTCAAAGGGGACAGGCTCTCTCAGGTGTCTGATCTCAGCTGGATTTGCTGCAGAGAGCCACAGTGAGAAATAGGGGTGCTGGAGTCTGAAGGCCCAGGCCTGCAGTAATAGAGTCATGTGGCCTGCCCTTCGAAGTCTGGCACACTAAAGGGGTTACACCCAGGGCCTGGTTTAAATACCGGGGTATGGCCCAGACCCTCTAATCCACAACAGGTGTCAACCCCCTGCACTCTGTCTGCACCAACACTTGCACTGCTGCTGGTGCCGATGCTGGAAATGGGGTCCAGACATTCTCAATGCAGTCAGAGGAGAGAGCTGGCCTGGACCATGCCTGTGCAGAGGAGTTCATCGGCTCCTGTCCTGGCTGGGGAACTGTGAGCTGCTTTGGGAAGCCAAGCAGGCCCGTGTGAAGGCCTCTCCATTGTAACTAGGGTGGAAGCGCCTTGCTCCCATAACCTCAGGAGGCTGTGTTTCTCAGGTAATTTCTAGGGACTCTATTGGTTTCTGGGATACAGGAGGGGCAAAAAGAAGGGATTAGGAGGAATAGGATTTAGGTCCCTAAATAATCACCCCAGGGTGGGAATTCTGGCCCAAATGAAACTGTTTCAATGTGCCTGCCAGTAAAATGTCCCTGGACAGACCAGGAGTGACTGTTGGTGCCACAACAATACCACTTCTCTCCCAGGGCTTTCCCAGGGATGTGTCTGTGAATTCTCCCCTGGCAATGTCAGGGGCAGGCCATCAAAGACCTGCAGGAAGGCTTACCCCAGCAAATGGTAGCAAAGCACAGGAGTCGGGCGACATTCCAGCCACATCCCCAAGCCCTTGGACTGGAGCGGAGTCCTACAGTGCTGCCCTGGGGGTCAGAAAAACATGTCCATAAACCCCTCAGTACTTCACAGCAGTCAGGTCCAGACATATTTGACACACTGAGCTGAAACAGACACTGTTGGACACACCTGGCTGACACAGACACTATCTCTGATTAGTTCATATTTACAATGCAGCTAAAATGCAGAATCTCAGGGCTGGTCTATACTTACCGGGTAGTTCGACGGCTGGCAATTGAAGTTCCGGGTTCGATTTATCGCGTCTGGTCTGGACGCGATAAATCGAACCAGGAAGTGCTCGCCGTCGACTGCGGTACTCCAGCTCAACGAGAGGAGTACCGCGGAGTCGACGGGGGAGCCTGCCTGCCGCGTGTGGACCGCGTCTGAACCGCGGTAAGTTCGAAGTAAGGTATGTCGACTTCAGCTACGTTATTCACGTAGCTGAAGTTGCGTACCTTACTTCGACTTGGGGGGTTAGTGTAGACCAGGCCTCAAAGAGCAAGAGTTGCCAGCCTCCACAGGGGAAGAAGGAACAGTTGGAATTTTAGGCAAGTGATTTGATTTAGCAACATCATCTCCACAACAGGTTGTTAATGAACATCCTGGAGAACGTGACTATGAGTGTGAGATGTTGTTGGTCAGTGTCATGAGTTCAGCTCAGAGGACAGAGGCAGTTTTTGTCCATAAATTAGATAAACAGCTGAGCATCTCAGTCAATCAGAGCAATATTCAGGTGTAATAGAGTTATATTAGAATTAGAAGAAATGGGAACCATCCATGGGTCTAAACCTGAAATGCTGCAAGCTGCACCAGCAGGCCCCTCCTCTCCCTGGGCTTCAGAGGGCAGGATCCAGCACCAGCCCGAATGTCTACATAGCTGTGTGTAGGGCCATAGTGTGAGCTCTGTGAACCTGAGTCTGTAGGCCTGGGCTGTGAGACGCACTGCCATGGGTTTAAAACACTGTGCAGATGTACCCTCTGGCATCTTACCAACAGGGGCTGAGCCCAGCCTTGACCAGAGATCTGGGGGAAAGGAGCGGTGTGGTCTGAACCAGTTAAGTTAGGATGGTGGTGTGGCAAAGCTTGTAGTGCTGGCTGCTCCTCTCATCCAGGTATCAGCTTCCCGGGGGTGGCTGGCTGGCTCCTCAAGCAGCCTCCCAGGCCTGAGAGGCTCCATGCTATCTTTTGGATGGCAGGGAGGCTTTGAATGAGGCCATCTCTGGTAGCCCATCTCCACTTTCCCAACCAATCCTCATGCTGTGGTTGCTGCTATTCCACCGCCTGTGCGCCAGCTCTTTCCACTGACGCCCACAAAGCTCGGCTATACCAGCCACCTGGCTGGAATTGGGGTCTCAGGGAGCCATTGGCTAGCATTCAGCAAAGTCATTAATGTAGGAGCTCTGGAGGTAAGGCAGAAAGGAAGGGAAGGGGAAAGCAGGGGAAGAGGGCCCCCCATGCGGTTTTTAACCTTTAGCTCTGCTTCCCAGGTCGGGATCTCCAGCTGATGTGCAGGGGATATTCATGGGTTTGCTGGGGGAAAGAGAGCCTCCCAGCTCAGGTGACTGAGTGAAATCCCAATTGCACAGCAGTGTGGGTGGGGGCTCTCCTTATCAGCTCAGGGCTGGGCGGTGTGTGTGTGTGTGTTTCTCTTCCTGGCCATTCAGTGCTGGGTGGGGGGGCTCCCCTGGCAGATCAGGGCTGGGCGCAAGTGTGTGGGGCTCTCCTTGTCAGCTCGGGGCTGGGCAAGGGGGGGGGGGGGGGCTCCCCTGGCCGCTCAGGGCTGGGCAGCAGAGGGGGCTCCCCTGGCAGCTCAGAGCTGGGTGGTGGTGGGGCTCCCGTGGCTGCTCAGGTCTGGGCAGCGGGGGGGCGGGGGGGGTTCTCCCTGGCCATGGCTGGGCAGCAGGGGGAGCTCTCCCTGGCCATTCAGGGGTGGGCAGTGGGGGGGGGCACTCCCTGGCTATTCAGGGCTGGGGCTCTCCCTGGGCAGCTCAGGGCTGGGTGAGGGTGCATGAGGGGGCTCTCCTCAGCTCAGGGCTGGCAGTGGGGGGACTCCCTTGGCAACTCAGGGATGGGGGGGGGCTCTCCCTGGCAGCTCAGAGCTGGGAAATGGGCGGGGGGCTCTTTTTGTCAGCTCAGGGCTGGGCAGAAGGGAGTGGGGGGGTTCTCCCTGGCCATTCGGGTCTGGGCAGTGGGGAGGGCTCTCCCTGGGCAGCTCAGGGCTGGGTGGGGGTGCATGGGGGGCTCTCCTTGGCAGCTCAGGGCTGGGCAGTGGGGAGGGGGATCCCCTGCTCACTCAGGGCTGGGCAACAGGGGGGGGGGGGGAGGACAGGACTCCCCTGACAGCTCAGAGCTGGGCAGAGGGGGGATGGGGACTCCCTTGACAACTCAGGGCTGGGTAGTGGGGCTCTGCTGGTTGGAGCTGGGTGGTCTCATTTCAATTAATATTGGAGAGTTGAGCATAGGAGAAAACTCAGCCCTCCTCACCACCTGGAGTTTCCTTCTGCAGCAGTCTGTGGGGCACTGTCAGGGCATCGTCCCTGTTGCCCATGCAGGGTCCTGCTCTGGGGGCCATTTGGGGTCTCTGTTCCTGGCACTGTCCCCTGTACCCACACTCAGAGGTGTCTGGAGTGGAGGGTAAGGGCTGTCGCTAAGGAGCCAGCTTGTAGCTCTCCCTTGTGAGCAGCAGCTCCTCTGCCTGCCTCACTCCTTCCTAAACACTGCGCAGGTGAATCCAGCCACATCCCCAGGTAGAAGAAGGTGCTAGACCTACCATCTCCAGTGCCGACCTGCCAGCCTTCACTCTCCTCTCGCTCAATCCCTGGACCGAGACGACTTAAACCAGCCCTCTACTTGGCTGTGTCTTGCAGCACTTCCTTTCATGTGTGCAGAACCTCATTGCATCCCTTTCCTGTTCCTCCCCCCACATCGAGTCACAGCTTGAAGAGTCATTGGGCCAGAGAGAGCGTGACTGTGAAGCCTGGGTAGGGACTGACCTGGGAGGTGGGAAATCCAGGGCCCAGTCCCCCTGCTCCAGTGATTTGCTATTGATCCAGCTGAAACGGAGGGATCTTCCCTCAGAATATCCCTTAGCCCAGTGGTTAGGAAACCTCTCCTGAGAGGTGGGAGACCCCTGTGCAAATCCTTTCTCCCCCGCAAGCAAATGGGGGAATTGAACCTGGGGCTCCCACAGGCCAGCTGAGTGTCCTAACCAGTAGGCTAGAAGCCATACGGTAGACACCACCACCTCCTTCTCTAGCAGCCAGACTTTGATGGGACCTGCTCCATTAGGTGGCCTCTGAGCAAGCGTACTGGATCAGGCCCTGCATGCAAGTCAGATGGCACCTGTCTTTTCCCAATTCACAGATCACACTGTGGCTTAGGCAGGAGCTAAGTACCCAGGCGCCTAGAGGGAGGCAGCAGGGCACATGCCCCAAGGCACAAACTTAGGTGTGGAGGGGACTTTTCCCTGAAAACGTAGGTGCCAAATGAGTTTAGGTGTCTACATGAGCCAGTGGGAGTTTTGTGGATCTCATTGAAGCCTCAAACTGAGATTTAGGCACCTAAACCCCGGACTAGGTGCCTATGTCTGGGGTTTAGGTGCCTGTGATATTCTTAGGGTACCCAGGACTGTGAGTCACCTCTAGCCAGAGGGAGCCTTGCTGTGGTGGCTGGGGTCAGCTCCCTAACCCCACCAGCCCGTCAGCCATTCAAGCACTCTCCTATGGGTTAGGCCAGCCCTGTCTGCCTCACAGGTGCACCCCAGTCCCCTTGAAGCATTCCCCTGTGATATCCAGCCCCTGATGCTGGCTACTCCCAGAAAACCCAGATCCTCTGCCCCCAAAGGAGCAACATATCCCACTTTACCAGTTTCACCTTAAATCATTGCTCCTGTAAACCATGCAGCACTTGTAGTGAAACAAGAGAAGGTTTATTTAAGAGAGAATACAGATTCCATTAGAAACAAGAGAGCAGTTGAAACCAGTGGTTACAATACAAAACAAAATCATAAAATGCAAACTAGGGCTCAGGGCCGGCTCCAGGCACCAGCGAAGGAAGCAGGTGCCTGGGGCAGCCGATAGAAAGGGACGGCACTCCGTCCGTTATTGGGGCAGCACATCCGGGTCTTCGGCGGCAATTTGGCAGCGGGTCCTTCACTCCCTCTCTTCCTCTTCGGTGGCACTTCGGCGGCAGCTCAATCGGGTTTTTTTTTCTTCGACGCTTGGGGCGGCAAAAAAGCTGGAGCTGACCCTGCTAGGGCCACACTTATCAATAGTTCCCTTTCCTAGCTGGAAAAGTAGCCCCCCCACACCCCGAGTTCAGTCTGTTGCAGAATTGGCTAGTGTCACAGGAACCAGGATCCAAACTTTCATGAAACACCCCCATTCAGCAAGATGTCTCCTCAATGAATGGATTCAGGGGGCCTCTCCCCTTCAGTGTTACACTGAAAAAGTCTTTTGTCTCTATTCCCAGGCAGGGTGATCACCGTCTGTTGTAATGTTCCCTTTTTACTGCCAAGTGGTTTTGATTGTTTGCAGTTGTCTCTGAGGGTTTGCCATTGAAAGTCTTGGGATGGAGCAAGACTAGACAACTGAGCCTGGCATTACATCACTGGCTAACCAGGGAGAGGTGACAGCCATCACTAAGACACATTACCCCCCTGGGGACTAACTTTTACTCCGAGGCCAAGCAAACTGTCAATATAGTTACATTATTCCTTAAATGTTACCTTACCCACATCTCACAATGATTGTGAGCCTTGACAAGTTACGAGCTTTCTGTAGATACCTTCCATGTTACCCCTTATGGATAAATACCCTGCAATACATGATTGGTGTAGTGAGTTTGTTAGGTCTGAGATGAAAGTTGTTTGCAAAGAACAGGGGCCCCTTTGCCAAGGGGCCTGAGTGTCACAGCATCTAAGTACCTTTGTGAGTCCCATCCATTGTCCCTAGTCCCAAGGACTCTATGCAGTGGCATGTGGGGGACAGGGGGGCGGGGGAAGGACAGCGCCTGTACAGTCATCTAGAGTCTGCAGATCCCGGCACAAGTGGAGAAGAGGGGCTGCACTCCTGATTCGCCCTCTCTGCGTGCAATGGAGCAGGGAGTGGGAAGATCCATAGCTAGGACTCCCAAGTGCCAGCCAGTGGGACAGGCTGGGTGGAAGCTCAGCCCTTATCTTCAAGGTGCTCCATGGCCTGGGCCCAGGGATGAGACTGTGGGTGACAGCTCCGCTCGTCTGGCCCAGTGGACTCTCTATCACCAGGGTAAAGCTCAGCTGTGCAGGAGACAGAACTTACTCGGCGGCTGGCCCCAGACAGTGGAATGAGCTCCCCCACAAACTCAGATCCATCCGAAACCTACCAAATCCTGCTGCAAGGACCAGGAGCCTGGGTCAGACCTACCTTCTCTACTGGAAACACAGAGCAGTGTATGTAAATATCTATATATAAAATCTTACCAAAACAAGACACGCCACTGCACATGATTTTGCCCCATGGAGAGAATGAGAGAACAAACACCACATGACAGATGTCAGTCCCAGTCCTTATTTCCCAACTGGACGCTGCATGGATGCTTCAGAGATGAGTGCAGTATAAGAACCTGCCTAGACTAGACTAGACTAAGTGAAACCTTGAGATGGGGTGAAGTAGCCTCTTGGCCCCAGAAATAGAGTCTCTCAAATCTCTTCAGATTGCAAGCTGCTCCTTTCAGTCCCTCATGGGCCCACCCATCCCAGCCAGGTCACAGTGATCCAGCCCTGTTCTCTTGGAACCCTGCCAGATGAAGGACTGTGCCCGGCTCACCCAAGTGACTTAGCACCTTAGTCACTGATGTCCATGGGGACTCAGGGCAGACCCAGGCTCCCAGTCACTTTTGGCATTGGGACCCAGGTTCCCAGTGTCTCATTCACTTTTGGCATTGGGACCCAGCCTCCTCAGTCTTGTTGACGGGCTAAAAAACATCATCCCAGAAGGTGGGAGTGAGAGAAAGCACCAAGCCAAAGCACAGTGGGACTAGACTAGAAATGCTCAAGCAGACCCACAACAGCTGTCCCTGGCGCACTGGCTGCGATACGTTAAATTGAAAGGACAAAATGAAATATGTCTGAGCTGGTCTAGTGGACAGAGCATAGGACTGGACCAGGAGACCTGGGCTAGGCTGCAGGGGAATCTTGGGCAAGTTCCTGTTAGTATATAGGCTTGTTTGTCAGCCTGAGATACAAGCTTGGGTTTGACTTTTTGATACTCTTATATCTTATACTAATATGTGCGAAGAACAATGAACAAAGACACTGTGTGTTGCATTTCCCACAACCAGATGGGGCTTTTAGTACAATGAGAAAAGATAAGAGATGGAGCTAAAGTGTTATGGGGCATGGTGGGAGTATAATATATGAGCATACACTGAAAGGCTGGCTGGCTCCTTTCTCAAGCCAAGGTCATGCAACCAGTTAGGAGGGGCAAGGGGGATGGGGGTGGGAGGCATAAGAAACACTAAAAGGCCAAAGAAATGCCTAGCCTTGGCCAGAGCACAACCTCACTCCTCACCCCTCCCATGGGATACAAAAGAGGTGGGACGAAGACCCTAGACTCACAATCCTCCAAAACGGAACATGGCCATAAGTTGTAAGGGGTGGGACCGGGGGTGTGCATTATAGGTATATTTGGGCCTGCTAAGGAGGAGGAGGTGGGAAATGGTAATGGGGAACGGGGACACAGGCATGGCTCTGTGGCATCAGAGCTGGGAAGGGGGACATGGGGTAAACGCTCTGTGGCATCAGAGCTGGGAATGGATATGTTTGCTTCGAACTAACCCCGATAAACTTCACATTGCCTGCACTTCAGACTTCTGGTCTTCTGCTTTCTGACTGCGTGACAAGAACCTGGGAAGAGGGTGAAGGGAAAGCGCTCTAATAGTCCCTTCCTCTCCCTGTGCTCCAGTTGCTGAATCTGTAAAATGGGAATAAGGATACTGAGCTCCTTTGCAGAGCACCTGGAGATCTTCTGATGGAAAACACTGTATAAGAACTAGGTGTTATTACTCTAGGAGACTGGAGCCTAATTAGATGCTGACTTAATTGAGCACTCTCCCAGAATGGAATGCATTGTCTGATACTGTGCTAATTACAGGGTGTTCATTTTTAGGCTGGGTTGAATAACTATTGTCTTGTACGTGTGAGGAATGGGATATGGGGGTGTCCTTTTCTCCCCCTTCCCACAGCCATTAGAATGCAGGGTTCCTGGTAGGACAGTGAATACATTTCCCCAAGTTTTCCAATTTCCTCTCTTTTCTCTCATTAAACCTTCAGAACTAGGTCCCATTGTCTGTGTCTCATCTAGGATTGCTCTGTACTCTGTTGAAGTCTTTTGTTCTGTCCTGCTTCCAGGTAAAATAGTCCTGGAGGGATTTTTTTGCCAGGAATTACTCTACCCACTTCCAACCAAAAGCAAAATAAGAACACCCTTAGCTACACACATTTCTGATTCCAAAGAATTGCCCTTGGCTCCAGAAGAATGAATACCAGACAAAAGGAGGAACCTGCAGTGCAGTCCAGTAAAAACTATGAGGCACTTGGCCAATGTAAATCAAACCTAGAATTGTGTGCCAGACTCTAACCATCTTCCCTTTGCAAAATGTTTTGGGTAGAATTGTACATTTTAATGGAGTAAATATATACCAACGGGGCTGGCCTGAGAGGCTTTGTTAATTCTCAGTAATTTGGTGGCATCAAATGCAAATGGAGTGCGGGATTAAAAGAAGGAAAGAAATGCAAGTATTGCTTGGCAGGCTGCAAAGTCAACTTGGCAGTTGTTCAGGGAGTTTTCTGTGTGCAGAAAGAATAGCAAATATG